CGAGAAGTTGTCTTTCACTCTTTCCTACCCTAAGGAGTGTTTATGTTTGGAGAAGAATGCTGAGGTTTACCTTACAGCCGTAACGTCTTTTTCAACTGTTAAACACTGCAGTTGATCCATAATATATATATATATATGTGTGTGTGTGTGTGTGTGTGTGTGTGTAGGTATCATGTCAGAGTTAGACCTGATAACTGCCCTATATAATCTTATATTGGCTAAGGAAGCTCTGAACTAGCCTAAAGGCAAAAAATGCTTTTTTAAACACTTCTGTTGTGCTTAAATGCTGTTTGTTTATTGTGTCAGTGGTGCAGTGGTCAGTGTTTGATGGGAAGAAAGCTGCAGTTGCTCGTTTTATCTCAGCACGGCTTTCTTTGTGGAGAGGTGTGAATTGTTCTTCACAGCAGGGGGTTCTTCCCCTTCCCCTTTCACCTCTCATTGCTCACTAGCAGCTCAACAACGTTTAGTTAATCTGATAACAGAGTTACATTTGATTTGATTTTATTACTTACAAAGGGCGGCACAGTGGCGCTGTCGCCTCACAGCAAGAGGGGCCTGGGTTCGGTTCCCCGGCCGGGCGACCAGGGTCCTTTCTGTGTGGAGTCTGCGTGTTCTCCCCGTGTCTGCTCTGTTTCCTCTGAGTGCTCCGGTTTCCTCCCACAGTTCAAGGACATGCAGCCAGTCTAATTGGAGATGCTAAATTGGCTCTAGATGTGAATGTATATGACTGTGTATCTGCCCTGTGATGGACTGGTGACCTGTCCAGAGTGTTTCCTGTCGTACACCCAATGCCTGTTGGGAAAGGCTCCAGCAGCCCCCGCAACCCAGGAGGATAAACGGATGAGATATTAATTACAAGTATCCTAGTTCATTTCCATTCTGTGAGCAGAATGGCCACTAGGGGGCACTGCAGACAGAGGTTACTACGCTATGTCCATCCCTTGTGTACATACCATCCACACTGAAAACACAGACGTTGTGTTTCTGACCACAGGACCGCTGCTGACCAGATATCATTTGGGCGGTGGACCATTCTCAGGTAGCTGTGGACCATTCTCAGGTCATTGTGTTACTAGGCGAGTGGTCTGCCACCCAAAAATATCCAAGAACTTTTCTGTGGTCAGAAACTGCCCCATTGATGATGGGTTAGAGCATGGCTAACACAAACTGGCCATCAACAAATGAGCTACAGTCTCTAACTGTTGACCAGCAAGGTGGAGCTACATGACTGTGTGCCTCAGTGTAGTGAAGTGACCAAGAGGTGGTGCTATTAGCCATTATTACAGTGTTCCAGTTTGAATATGTATCATGATGCTAATTAACTTAAAAGTATGTACATAAAGTGGCTTTTACACAGTGAGGAGCTGGACAGCGTCGGCCTTGTTATGATTTATGATGGATTAAGACACAGATGAGGGTCATCCTGGTCAGCTTCATCCAATACAGACCTTTTTCCTGATATTCCTGGGCAGTTTGTTGTGGTGTCAATGGCTAATAGCAGCGATAGTTTACATGCACATATTACCCAGAATACTGTGGAATGCAGGTGTAAACATGTAGGATCACTCTGTCAACCAGTTCTGTTGTTCCTCAGACTTCACTCCGGGTGTAATATGGAACGGTACAGTATTTGGGATATTATGGGAACAATATGGCACATTATTAGGAATAACCTACATTCACTGAGGCCCAAACCCATTTCTAGCCCTACCCCTTGTTTTCGGATGTCATCTTGCCCCTTGGAATTGAGTTACAAGGGGTAGTGGTCGAAAGGAGGGATAGGTCCAAGTGACAGGGGGCAAGGGGTGAAATGGGATTGGGCCTAAATCATTTTACTCCCCACAAACCCAATGACCCTAAAATGAAGGAATTAGTTATAAAGGACTCAAAGTAACTCATTATTTTGACGCAAGCCTTCTTTTTTGGGGAAATACTCACAGAAACGTATTAAATACTCAAATTAAATGTCTGCAAAATTAATGTCTGTGTAGTTAGAATAATGGAAAGCCCAGGTGATTCACCAGGACCGGTCAAAAATGAATCAGGCTGCCTTTTGTCTTCAGAGCAGCTACAGTCCTTCTCGGAATGCTGTTATAAACATTTCGAACCATTTCTAGTGGGAAATTGGAGCGTTTTTCAAGAAGAACAGGCTATCGTGTTTGGAGTAAGCAGTGCGGGCCAAAAGGCCTCATTTGGCTTCCTCAAAAGGAAAATCCATCCACATGTTGGGGAGAAAAAAGCACAGGACGAAACATCTGACTGTCTTGCCTTCTTCCACTGTGCCAAGAACTACATTTTTATACTCATTGTGGTTTATATGTAAAATATCATTGGTTATAAGTTATTTTCCCAACACAAATCCTGCCATCCATTCCAGCTTTGTGAGCCTAATGCTATGTAGTGTTGCCTGAGACCAGAAGTGAGTTTCTCAGTACTGGAGGGAGTTTTTGGACCTCTGAATTTGTTTACTCAGGTCAGCTTTTTGGGAGCTACCTTGACTTCTAGTCATTACTGGAAGCTAATTTTGCTTCTACTAGTTATTATTGGAAGCTAATTTTGCTTCTACTAGTTATTATTGGAAGCTAATTTTGCTTCTACTAGTCTTTATTGGATGCTAATTATATTTCTACTAGTCATTACTTCACTACCTTTAACAGTTTTTCAATAAATTCTCTCAAGCATTTACAGCCCTGTGTCCAAAAATGTAAATACAAACAGAGTGCAATGATGTGTAAATCATGTAAACCATATTTTTAATTGCAAACAATATAAAGACAACATATCAAATGTTGAAACTGAGGAATTGTATTGTTTTTTGAAAAATGTATGCCTATTTTGTATTTCATCCCAACAACATCTTTCAAAAATGTTGGGATGGGAGCCACAAAAGGCTGGTAAAGTTGGTAAAAAAAAAGAGAGGCTGAGTCTTTCAGAAGTAAATGTGAGGAGGTTACATAATATCATTAAAAGACTCAGATAATCTGGAGAAATCTCTGTATGTAAGGGACAAGGCCGAAAACCAATATTGGCTGGCTGTGATCATCGGGTCCTCAAGTGGCACTGCATTAAAAACAGACATGGTTCTGCAGTGGAAATCATAGTCTGTAAACACAATCCGTCGCCGCATCCACAAGTTAAATGCAAGTTAAAACTCTACCATGCAAAGAAGAAATCATATATAAACAGGATCTAGAAACACCGCCACCTTCTCTGGGCCTGAGGTCATTGAAGAAATCATGGATGCTGCATCCTCCGGGCTAAAGACCATCCGGCTTGTTATCAGCGCACAGTTCAAAGGCCAGCATCCGTGATGGTGGGTGTGTGTGTGTGTGTTGGGGGGGGCATTAGTGTACACATCTGTGAAGGCACTATTAATGCTAAATGGTATACAAGTTTTGGCAACATATGCTGCCATCCAGATGTCTTTTTCAGGGAAGGCCTTGATTATTTCAGCAAGACAATGTCAAACCACACTCTGCATGTATAACAACAGCATTGCTCCGTATTAAGAGTCCAGGCGCTATACTGACCTGCCTGCAGTCCAGACCTGTCACCACTGATAACATTTGGCACATTATGAAATGAAAAATATGACAAAGGAGATGTTGAAATGGGAAAACTTACCACTTTCAAACCTACAGCAGTGTCTCCTCAGTTCCCAAATGCTTACAGAGTGTTGTTAAAAGAACTTTTTTGGAGTGGTATTGTGTGTGTGTGTGTGTGTAAATGGGCATTTTCTGTGCCAGTGTTTGTCTCCACACTCTTATGATGTAAATACAAGCAACATTACAGATTTCTCTGTGACCTTGCTGTTCTTCTCAAAAGTGTTTTTACAGATGTTTTCACAGATGTGGTGTAAAGTTTCATTCTCTTGTACAGAGCTGAAGGAAACGCGGCCACATTTGAACACATTTTTGAAAAATTTCAGTGATTCGCTTGAATTTAATTGGACAGCTGCTTAGAAACCTCTCACTCCATATCTCTTTCTCTCTCTCTACCTGTATCTCTCTCTGTCAGTCTCTCTGTCTCTGTCTCTCTCTACATCTCTCTGTGTCTCTCTCACTTTGTGTGAGTGTGTTTGTTTCTCTGTTTCTCTCTCTCTGTTTCTCCCTCCCTCTCTCTCTCTCCCTCCCCCCCTCTCTCTCTTTCTCTCTCTGTTTCTCCCTCCCTCTCTCTCTCTCTCTCTTCTCTCTCTCTCTCTCTCTCTCTCTCTCTCTCTCTTGAAAATCGTATTTTCCAAATCAAGTATGCTTTATTGGTGTGTCAGGATGTGAGAGCTGAGTTGCACAAGAAGCTGTACATGTTGAATTGAGTTATTATTGATTAATACTAGGATAAATAATTAAAATAAAGCTGTGAAGTTTGAGATACAAATATGATACATTTGAGCATAACATTAACTTGGATATGCAACAAAATAATACTACTAAAAAAAGTTACCAATAAGATAAACATGAAAAATTAAGGAGCCTGAATATCAGAAATACAAGAAATTCTCTCTCTGTGTATACATCTCTCTCTCTCTCTCTGTACATCTGTCTCTCTCTCTTTCTCTCTCTCTCTCTCTCTCTGTACATCTCTCTCTCTCTCTCTCTCTCTCTCTGTACATCTGTGCGTCTCTCTCAGTTCAGTTCAGTTCAATAAGCTTTATTGGCATGACCATATTCAGCTACAGTATTGCCAAAGCATCGTCAAAATGGAACAAGAAAAGAGAACATTTAGAACAGAGTATACAAACTCTTAATTGCATTTGATATAAAAATAATAATTCTAAAAGAATCACATTAAAGAACTGTTCTCTCTCTGTATGTGTGCGTCTCTCTCTGTGTACATCTGTGTGTGTATGTGTGCGTCTCTCTCTCTCTCTCTCTCTCTCTCTCTCTCTCTCTCTCTCTCTCTGTGTATGTGTGCGTCTCTCTCTCTCTCTCTCTCTCTCTCTCTCTCTCTCTCTCGCTCCACCTCCGTCGTCACTGTAGGAGGGTGTAAGTGCTTTAAATATGGAAAAGAGTCGCGAGCTGAAGCCGTTACGCTCGAGACGAGCGAACAGGCGGGAAGGCGGGCGGTTGTGTTTTGAATATCAGTGTCAGGTGTTTTTCTGAGGTGTTTAGCTGAGCTGAGGTCGCGGCGAGGCTGAGTTATGACCGAGGGGGGGTTTTGTCTGACCGTAGTGTGTAGAGAGAGCGAAATACCGCGGACTCCGGACAGATAATAACAAACAGCGAGCAGGTCAGACACAGACTCGGCTTCACTTCGACGAAGTTTGTTTTCTCCTTCCTTCGCTACAGCCGGCGACCCAGACTCTCTCAGCTCCGGACAGAGAGAGAGGGAGAGAGAGAGAGAGAAAGAGAGAGAGAGAGCAGGTTACCGCTACCGAGTCCAGGCGGGTTCAGCGCGCTGACAGGACGGTGTGTTGGGGACTGTGAGAGACGGGGACAGTCTTCAGCACCTTCAGAGGACACCTGGACCCTCAGCGCACGAGAAAATGAGCGACAAGCACAAGTAAGTGTTTCATACACTTACACTACACTACAGTACACTACAGTACACCACAGTACAATACAATACAGTACAGTACACTACAGTACAGTACAGTACAATACACTACACTACAGTACAATACAATACACTACAGTACACTACAGTACAATACAATGCACTACAGTACAGTACAATACACTACACTACAGTACAATACAATACACTACAGTACAATACACTACACTACAGTACAGTACAGTACACTACAGTACACCACAGTACACTACAGTACAATACACTACAGTACAGTACACTACAGTACAATACAGTACACCACAGTACAGTACAATACACTACACTACAGTACACTACACTACAGTACAATACACTACACTACAGTACACTACAGTACAGTACAATACACTACACTGCACTACAGTACAATAATGCAGTGCTCAGGCAATTTCAGCTGATGGTTTGAGTTGGCAGTTTGAGTTAGATTGAGTTAGATGGTTTGAGTCAGGTGGTTTGAATTAGCAGTTTGAGTTTGTTTGAGTTAGGTGGTTTGAATTAGCAGTTTGAGTTAGTTTGAGTTAGGTGGTTTGAGTTAGATGGTTTGAGTTAGCGATTTGAGTTAGGTGGTTTGAGTTAGGTGGTTTGAGTTAGATGGTTTGAGTTAGATGGTTTGAGTTAGCGATTTGAGTTAGATGGTTTGAGTTAGGTGGTTTGAGTTAGGTGGTTTGAGTTAGATGGTTTGAGTTAACGATTTGAGTTAGATGGTTTGAGTTGGCAGTTTAAGTTAGTTAGTTTGAGTTGGCAGTTTAAGTTAGTTAGTTTGAGTTGGCAGTTTGAGTTACCAGTTTGAGGTTGAGTCACACACAGAAGTAAAGCCGTCACTGGAAAAATCTAACCTTTAAGTGAATCATAATAAAGAGAAAGGTTTACATAATTATAACATAACATCTCATAATTATGACTTGCTATCTCATAATAATGACTTAACATCTCAGAATCATGACCTGGTAACTCATAACAATAAGTTAATATCTCATAATTATGACTTCCTATCTAATAATAGAGACTGTGTTATACTTATGACTTATTTTATTATAGTAATGAGATACTATCTCATAAATAAGACTTAGCATCTTATAATTACGACAGTGTCTTGTAATTATGTCTTATAATTATCTTGTAATAATGACTTTGCTTCTCTTAATTATGACTTAACTGCTCATAACATTGACATTCTCATAATTACGAGTTAATATGTCATAATTACGATTTAGCATCTCATAATTATGACTTACTTTCTCAGAATTATGACACAGAATCTCATAATAATCAGAAAACTTTCTCGTTATGAAATAGTAAGTAGTAAGTTATTATGAGTTCTTAAGTCATAGATATGAGGAAACTCATTATTATGAGAGTAAGTCATTATTATGACTTACTATGCGGGCCTCTTTTTTTTATGAGTGACGGAAACAGGCTTCCATAGAAAGCTGATATTTTGACTGCTGATGTTAAAGAGTTCCACGAATTTCTGCATAATTCAGTGGCTGAGATGGAAACTAAGTCATTCAGAGTGGTTTGGTGCAAAATGATTGATTGTAGAGACTCATATTCCTTTACAGTGGTGGTGATAGGAACCAGTGGTCGCCATGACTACAACACAAATATAGACATTTTATTTGCTATCCAAAACCTCCAGTGAACCTACACGAGTCTTCCTATGCATTTTTCTTTGGGTGCTTTTTGGCCTTGCACCTCAGCTGTGAGTGAATAAAAAATACATAGTATTCATAACCTTTTCATGTAGTAACTTTCTGTGAGGGAGCTTTTAGAGGTGGACGTCTGGTTCCTATCACCACCACCGTGAACAAATCTGACTTGGTAAGTTTGTCTAAAACAGAGCGTTTCACACCAAACCACTCTGAATGACTCTGTTTACATCGGAACCATTTAATTATATACCAAAAATTGCATTTACATACAAAAGATCCCTCACAGACAGCAATACTGTATAGGTGTATATGTTTCTGATGACTGGTTCAAATTTCGGCCTTTCAAATAAGCAATAAAGAATTGCACCATTTACACTCAAAACCAAGAGCTCCTCTCTCCCCACTTGGCTTTACACTAGCATCTGTATGTCGTGCTGCATCTTCCTCCCGGAGTAAAACACCTGCTCTGGTCATAGCAGTCGACCTGCGTTGCAGCATTCGAGAGCTGTCCTGAAGTAGCCGGAGACACTGAATGCGTAATGGTATGCGTCTTCTTCTACTTTTACTGTAACTCAAGCTTAGCCGCTCTTGTTTTAGCTTCACCGAGGAGCCAAAGTAGATCTCTTTCCAAGAAGGCCCTGTCACAACCGATTAGGCCCTTAAAGTCCATGAGTGGCACAGGGACTGCCAGCTGCTCCACACGGCATAATAATCCTCACCATTGAGAATCTAAACTGTGCTGTCTGGAGGAGTCAAGGCTTTGTTTGGACCAGGATGGGTTTCAAAAAAAGAGGTGGGCCGCCTTCGTTAAGTGGCGTGCCGGCGTACATGTGGACGCAGCATGTTTTCTGTTGTCGTTCGTGCTTTTGGAAAAGAAACGGGCCATGATGGTTCACAAACTGCTGATTCCTGAGGTCGCCTAGATGAGGGCTGCTCAGCCCCGGTCGTGGAGATACAGCTTAGAACACCTCCCTCTAAAGTTCACATGTTCCTGACCTCCTTGATTAACTGGATCAGGTGTGTTAGGTCAGCGTTGGAGCTAAACTCTGCAGGCCAGGTGGATTTTCAGAAGCTGAGTTTGGCACCCCTGGCCTGAGTAGGCAGGGACATTGAACCGTTTTACCCCTTTAAAGATCTGCATTTCTGATTGAATAGCATAAATAAACATCAGACAGATGTTTGAATTTGATATTTCAAACCAGTATGATTGAAGTATTTATTGTATCCCAGAAGAGCAGAATGTATTGGTGATGCTGAGCTACTGTGCTAAGATACCTGTGCTTTATTAGCGTTTCTGCATTTGTAACTCAATACAAATAAACATTATGTTTCTCTGTGACACCAATGGGTGTAGATTTAGTCTCAGCTGCTACATTTTTATGAACATTTTTAGGCCCACAGTTTCCGTATTAGTGTATCTCTAATGAATAGTATTGCAATATCTCAGTAGACAAGTCTTTTTATATTGTTATGAGTAAAAAATAAAATAACAGAAGGTTTAACTTTGGTTTATTACGCTTCACTAACGTGATAGGTGAGCTGTACCTGGTTGTTTGGTTAATTTAGTGATTTATCGATGTGTTTTATGCATATGCATATCTTATTCCTCTTATGTCCATATGATGTTATAACTGAAGTTTGGGGGGGAGTAACATGCCTGAAACCCCTCCTTCTTCCAGTCTAACGCCCTATAAATTCACATCCTTACCTTCCGTTCCCGTTCCTCAGTCCTCAGTCTTAATACAACTTTGAGAGGGTTCTGACCTTCTAGCTACAGGCAGAAGCTGCCCAGAGCTCCAGCCGAAGTTCTCAAAGTTCTCCCCCTCCCTCAGTCAATCTTCCCTCATACTACCACCGCCATGTTGAAGGCATGGTCTGAACACACAAATTGGCCCTTATTAGCTAATTATCAAGCCCTGACGTGCGTGATAGCAGAGACAACATAAAACAGAGCAGTGCAGGAGTCATCCATGTCTGGGTTTGTCTGGCACTGAAAAGAGCTATGAAACTAGCCTTGGATTGGCACTCTTTTCTCTGAGACTTTTAAAATTAGAATCTGACACTGTTACTGTTAATAACTGACTGGGAACGACAAGGAAATGCACGCAAGTTCCTTGACGTTTACAACCCTTTGATTACAATAAAACATGTATTAACTTTCCTCATTCTTCAGTATGATTCACTGAGGAAGAGACAATCATTGACATAATGTTTTCTTCACATTCGTTAGAATAATGCTTTGTCTATTGTTCTAATGCACTGCATGTCCATAAGTATCCAGATGCCCCTTTTACTGAGTGAATTTAGCCACTTTAAGGTGAACCCCTTGCTGACACAGGCGTGGAGTTGTATGCACACGGCTTGTATAATCTAAATAGAAGAGCATTACCTAAACCTAAGGTCATTGTACCTAATGCAGAGTGTGCTGAAGCCCCCCAGCATTGGTCTGTGGAGCAGTGTAACTGTGTACTCTGGATCTCCATCCAGTACTACAGCAAACAGACTCACTATTAATACCCTTCATTACAGAAGAAACATTAGATGAGCAGGTGTGTACAATCTTTGAAACATACAGTGTGTCACAAAACTCAGTGCAGCAGAAAACACTATTATCAGAGACGCCTTGACTAAATACACACACACGTTTCCTGATGCGCTTCGGAAAGCTGCACAGGTATTACAAGTAGGAATTCCTGTAGAGATTAGCAGGAAGGAAAAAAAAAAAAACTATCTTGTGGAATCTCCAGTGTTTGGGTAGTATTGACAGGAAATGGCTCTCAGAAAGAGAACACACACCTCTCCCCATTGACAGTATGTATGAATGAGGTGTGTGCTGGTACTTATCAGACTGAAAGAAAGAGAAAGTGAGAGAACGAGATATCGAGAGCGTGATAAGAAAAGGACAGAGGAGGGACACAGAGTAGGAACAGAGTAGAGGGTTAGAGGTTTCTAGGGTGTTATTTATGTTTTTATATGCATATTAGTATGGATAATATATCAGCTCCTTCATTGACTTTCAGTAGAGTTCATATCCTCAACAGGTTGTAGCTCAGTAGTTATATTCAGCGTATTATCTTACAAACACGGCAAGCTCAAATAACGCAGTTGGTCACGCGGTCCACATTTCTCATATTCATTAACAATAATAAAAGTCAGTAGGCAGTTTTTACAGCTCCTGGCATCTTCTGGGAGATCTCTCATGGTCACCTTGCTGATTTGTGCTTTGCAAAGTTGTGTAGAAGGTGCACAGTGGGCTGATTCTGGGACTGAGGATAGTTTTGAGCTTATAAATAA